TGTAGTTGTTGTTTTAAACTTGAGTATGAACTTATACAAAATGCAGCAAGATATTTAAAAAAAAACAGTTTTGTTGATTAAAAAACACTATATCGGATTCATATCGGTATCGGCAGATATCCAAATTTATGATATCGGTATCGGTATCGGACATAAAAAAGTGGTATCGTGCCATCTCTAGCTCAAACTGTACGATTGACTCGCAGGGGTTAGAAGTTCATAGGTCACGATGCAGGGTCTCACACTATACGGCCCGATGCTCTGATGCGACCTGAGTGCTCACACTGTGCGTCCATAAAAATGAAGGTTATAACAGAAATTCTGTCGCTCGCTCTCCCTCTCCGTCTTTCACTCACACAGACACACCACCACCATCAACTTTGCTAAATTGCTAATGAAAAACATTGGTCAGGCAGCTGTGATTGAGCAGCAGTGTCGATCCAACTATTTTCACGGTTGTTGTGGTCGTGATAATTTTGTGAGGCCACATCGAAAGGGCTCGGATGGTTCTACAGGTTGTGCCTCCATCGCTTGTGTCCAGATCACACGCTGCACTGCCGTGCTACGCCGGCTTTTTCGCTGACATTTGTGTTTGCGCGTGCGCAGTGTGGCAAACTGCGGTGACACCCTCACGACCAAGCGATTGATGATCGGGAGCTGGTCGTGAGGTGTCAATCGCTTCTCGTTACCCCACGTATACTACACGATGCACGACGCACGATGAAGGCCAAAATCGGGCCGATCGCCAAAACGATCGCACGACTCAAAAATCGGCTCAAAATGGGCCAAAAATCGCACAGTGTGAGCCCAGCATTAGTCAGAGGTCCCTTTACTACAGTTCGGAGTCGCGGACCTTCAGTAATAGTAATAAATCACACAGCAATAGTACATTCACGTTGTTGTAAAAAGCATGATAATACTGTAGCGGGTCAGGGCTGTTCGGGGTTCTGCTTGTACAGTTATGTTTTGTGTATGTTGCCATGGTGACGGGTGACGCCCTCTCGCTGCAACGGTGTGTCCTTCCGGGGTCAGAGGGCGCCCTATGTGTGTTGTGGTTGCCGCGCTGAGCAGTTAGCTAGTGGCAGTGTGTTCTTCTGCAAATGTAATAAACGGCTGTGCTCCCTGGCTAGCTCACGGGAAGCAAGACCAAACGATACCTCCGTCTCCTCCTTGTCTGAACTCGCCACAATATATTAAGTAATCCAAAGTATTCAGAATACGTTACTGTCATTGAGTAACGTAACGGAATACGTTACAGAATACATTTTGGGGCATGTATTCTGTATTCTGTAATGGAATACATTTTAAAAGTAACCTTCCCAACACTGCATGTAGCTATGAGAAATTAAAAAAATATAGTAAGTGTAAAGGTTCAAATAAACATACAGGATGGGTTGTAAATGTTGCCCTTTGAAGTCTGTAATGAACTCTACATGAAGATTTCCTTTTTCATTCTCATTCCTTTCCATACATTTACATGTGGATAATGACAAAACAGGGTGTGTGTCAGGGGGCTGGCTCTGTGACCCAACATTTTGAGTTTGTGTTTTGATTGCTTATATATTGAGATAATGTTAAGTTCTATTATTATTATTAGTTTGTCTTAGTTGAGTTTTGGTCTAGTTTATGTTTCTTCTATGTCTCCTTATTTATGAGTCTTTTCCTGTCCTCTGTGCAGTCTGTCTTGTTCTCTGTTTTACTTTTAGTTAAGTCAGTGCTTTCATCTCTCTTATCTGTTCTCATGTGTTTCTCTTTCTGTTCCATGTCTCCCCAGTCAGTTATGTGTTTCATGTCTGCGTGTTCCATGTTGTCAAGCTTGTATTATCATGTCTACATCTCGCCATGGTTCATGTTTTATTTTGAAAGTCTTGTCTTTCCATGTTCAGTGTGTTTAGTTTTGCATTCCCTGTGGCCTCATGTTCAGCTGTGTTTCCCCTGGTGTTTCCACTTCTCTCATTACCCTTTTCTGTATTTAAGTCCTCTGTCTCCCTCTGTTCACTATCGGTTCATCTTTTTTTCTCCCTCCATGTCACGTCAGGTTGTTCATGATTCGGTCCAGGTCCCGGTCCCTCTTGTCATAGTCATCATAATCATCCCTAGTTATTCCCAGTTTATGTTTTAATTTTAGTTTTAGTTCTCTATCATTTATACTCTTGCTGTTCATTCATTCCTCTCCAAAATGTTGAGGAAATTGAATTTACAATTCTTAGACATAAACAGGAATTAGGATTGGATGGTTAGATGTATATGGTTAGATTAGGTAAATTAGCTGAAGGAATTATAATATCAACATTGGATTTGTTTTTTTACATAATTTTTTTTTCAAACAATATTGGGTCAGTAATCTTAGCCCTCTAGAGTACAGTGTTGATCCTGGGCAACAGAAAATGCTTTTAAGCCTCATTCCAAGAAAATGTAAATTTAAATTATGCCAACCAATAGGAGTGTTTGAATCTTTTTCTGACAAATGGTCACAGGTCCATATTGTGTGAGAAGAAAGTTAAGAAAATTTGCCGTAGTAATCATATTAAAAATGAGATAAACTCTAAGAAAAAATATGTTTGAGAATAAAAAGATATAGAAAGGGTTTTTTGTAAGGTTTTATTAAAAAAAATTCTTTTGTACATTCAGACATTCAGTTTTTCTTTTCGTTGCCTCAGGGCAACATTGTGAGATAAGGGGGTACTTTTCGAGGGTATTGAGTATTTGTATACAGGTTTGTGTACCTTTCACATGTTGCTGATGTGATGTGATACCTTTTGCTCAGCGACAACAGGTCACAAGGAATATTGGTGGCTATGGTGAGATACAATTCAGCCTATCCCATATCACATCCTCGTGAAGCTCAAATAGCTTCCTATGCAGGAAACATTGTGTATGGATGAGCAAATGGTGCCACGTAGCGGGGAGAGCAAATTCAAGCGATACCTACCCAGTAAACCATGAAAATGGGCTTTTCAAGTATTAGTCCTTGCTCAATTAAATTCAACTCATTTAATTTTATTTACTCAATTTTATTTACAATTTTATATACTAAGATTTGCAATTTTAACATTACTGGACATCACATTTTGGGTTGTTAAGACCACAAATACTAAATTTTTCTCTACAAGGGCCTGATATCCACTTATGAGGATATGTGTGATTTTACTGCCACTGTTCTATCAAAATTTTAAACAAATGTCCTCATATGTGAATATCAGGCCCTTGTAGAGCAAAATCAGGTAAAAAGATAATTCTTTGTTGAATTTGAAGTTGAATTTGAATTCGTTGAAACTGTCTGAATTCTTTCATCTGTAATAAAATGATCAGTGTGGCTGCTCTACCAGGTGTAACAATTAAGTGTAACATCCAGGCATCCATGAAAACAGAATTCATAAAATTCAACAGAGTGAGAAGTTAGCAGGAAGTTAGCTCGCTGATTTCGATGATTTCGATCTAAATATAATATGCCATGTTCTGACTGAGGGATTTCTGAAACAAATTAAGACGTACAGCTCTGCTATCACTTCCGACATAAATGAAAACAGGAAAGTAAACAGCAGTGACATTTGCAGGGTTACTGAAGTTGGACTAGCTGGAATATAATGGTGTGGTACATGATCACTAGCAACACAGCTATGTTGGCATAAGATAAATAGTGAAGCTGGAGGATGAATGCTAACTTTTTTCCACTCGATAAAGGTTAACATGAGGGTTCCTGATGGTTTGGGACAAATGCAATTGCATGGCAGGATGCTGCAAACGGACCAAACTTCAGTCAGGAGAACAACTGAGATAATCTATCCACAATATCAGTTTAGGCATTAATATACTGCTGCATTGCCTGGTCTTTAGTTACATCGTAAAGTTTTAAAAACAGAGCTTTAAAATGAATAGTGATAATAAAAACCAAGAGAGGCAGACAGTGATCACTGACTGTTTTTTGGGGCTTGCTGAGATTAAATAGAACAAGATAAAAAGAATTAAAACATGTTAAAAACAGAACAGCCTTATTAAACGCAGAGTAGTTTGTACCCGAAAGCAGGATTCATCATGTCATCACTTAAAGACCGGATAATTTTCCACAGTGCCTCCTCTGGGTGGAGCCTTCATTGCTCCTCCCAGGATTCCCACCTGAAGCTAATCAGACCAGCTGTAGTTAAGACCAGCATTCTCTACCAGCCTTTGCCAGAGTATCTGCTAATCTATGTTAGTTTCTGGCCTCATATTGGCCTCTGTGAGATGATTTTGAGTAATTTTTTCTCTAATTTTATTTGTAAAGAACTTTTGCTAATGCCAAGCATGGACAGAATATTGTGAAGTGGTTTAAGTTGCGAAATACATGAAAATGTTGCTTTCCAGGCTGTTCTGGGGAAAGTTTGGGATCTTACAAGTTCATGCTTTTCTCAGCAAGGAGTATTAAAATTGAGTTCAACACATTAGGGTTACGCCCTATTGTAAAACAAAGGAAGCATGTTCTACCACAAAACATGATATGACAGCTGATCCGTTTGTTTACCTACCTCATCTAAACATTTTGTAAAGGTATAGCAGTCTTTTGGCTTGAAATGACACCTGAAATCTCCACATTTCGACTTGTTTTCTCAAAATACTATTTTAAGTTTAAAATGTCACTCTTTTTTTTCTTAATGTAACCGTAGTACGTATAGAGCTGTCAGGAGATTAGGTGGAGGAGAGCCAGACATTAGAGCAAGAAGGTAAAAATTCAGACAGAGGACAAACCGGGCTCTGAAGAGCCCGATAAAGGGCAAAATAAAGACACCAAAAGCTCATAATGTCTATGTCATTTCTATGTGTAATGTCTAAACTTCAGAGCCCTGCATTAAACAGTTCTTCTTATTATTAATGGTAGCTCCCCACTCAGGCCACTCAAAAGCTGATATGTCCTCCTCTGAGCCTTCACCTTCCTGCTCTGGACCGTGGACATTGGCTGAAAATGTGAGGTACTCAGACTTTTACTGCATAGACTCAGACTCACATCACAGACACAGGACAAAAATTTATTGTTGGACCTTAGGAGGTTTAAATAAATAAAATATATTAGAAAAGGTGAATGGAATAAAAATCAGAAGATTAAATGCAATTTTTTAAAGAAGATTTAGAAATGAAATATGAAATGAGTCTACCAGGATCACTGTGACACAATGAAAAAGTCACATCAAATATTTTAAATACAAAGTTGTATAATTCATTGCATATTTTCAAGTTTTATTTAATATTCTGTTTCATTTCAAGGAATTATGCAAAAGATATGAAATTAAATGAGTAGAAACGATGTTGTATGAACATATTTCCAGCCTGAAGGTAAAAGGAAAAATACACCAGATATCGTTACTTTTACAGTCCATGACACTCTAAATGCTGCTCTCTGTTTGCCTCAATGAATGAGTTAATACACTTACACATCAAAGTACTATGACTGTATCAGCCTGAATCAAGGTTTAATTTTATTAGTGACTGTTAAATGGATAGTTGTGCAGTTCCATCTAAACAGCAGAGCTCTGCAGTGTGAATTGTTGTGAAATGTTCAGGCTGGTGCTTCTCTCTCTCTTCTTCCTGTTCACTTTTTCACAGCGCAAAAGACTCAACAGATGCTTTCGCAACTTCTGCGAGAGCATATATAGCAGAGGGTTCATACAGCAGTGAGAATAGGCAAGCATTTCACAGATATGGTAGGCAACTGCTAACCGTTTCAGTACCTTACAATCATTGTTTGTATTGAGAGACTTGATTAAAAGCATAATATGGTATGGCCCCCAGCAAATGAAAAAGGCTGCAACAATACACAACAGCACAGCCACAGTCCTGAACTTCCTTCTGTTTAAACCTTGCAAAACTGTCTTGAGGATGGCAGAGTAGCAGAAAATAATGATGGCAAATGGGAGGAAGAATAGCAGTGACACTTGTAGATACTGTCCAAGCGTGTCTTCAGATTCATCATAGCAATAGTTTTTACCTTCCCAGCTTTCAACCTTTACTTTCATTGCATCACTCAGGGACGCTAAGATGCTGATGACCCAGGCAGCTATACAGGTACCAATTGCACACTTCTTCACTCTGCCATGGCTGATCGGCCAGTTGTGCAGCACCACAGTAATGAAACGATCCACTGTCATAGCAGTCAGCAGAATGACACTGCTGTACAAACCAACAGCGAATCCAGCAGTGATAACTTTGCAGACAAAGTCCCCAAAGACCCAGTTGTGTAGGTGATCAACAGCCCAGAATGGAAGTGTGATGGTGAAGATTAAATCAGAGCAGGCCAGGTTCAGGATGAAAATATTTGTGATACTTTTCAGATTTTCGTAGATGAAGACAACACATAAGAGGAGGCTGTTGCCTATGATACTGAGGATGAAGATCAAGATGAAAAGGGGACCAGTGATGGTGGGAACATTAGTATCACACATGTATTCAACAAGACCACTCGTTCTGGATGTGAATGTGAAGTTTGCCATTTTCAATCTTCTGGAAAACATACATATAAAAGAAAATGCAATCAAACACAATGACTGAGCAGTTTTCTCTAAAGTGACAGAAACTGTTGATTTTGGTTCTAGTTTTTGTATATTATGTAAAACCAAAGTGACTAAAAAAGTATCAAATTTCAGAAAACAAACACAGCATCATTACTCAGTCCAGATGTGACATTTGCCATTTTCAGTTTTCTGGAAAAAAATAAAACATACATACAAAATAAAATGCAACTAAACACAATCACAATTTCTCTAAAATGACAGAAACTGTTTATTTTGTTTCTAGTTTTTGTATAACAGATAAAACCAAAGGGATTAAAGTACCCAATTTCAAAAAAAACCCCAGCAACTTACCACAAACATCAACTTTCAAGTCTTCCGCTGAATTTTATTGTTGTGTAAAAGCTGTAGGGTGTTCTCTTGAAAACTAACAGTTCCTCCTTTTGTTTCACATTAGTTCAGAGATTCTGCCTTAATAAAAACCACATCATGAAACAAAAAAAGTCACCAAATTTAAACCTAACAAATAACTGCCTACATCCATATTGCATTTCTCTGAACTTACCTCAAACTCAGGTCTTCTGCTGAATTGCACTGTGGTGAAAAACCTGTGATGATCCTGAGATATCTTAAAGTTTGTCGTGTTCTTGAGCTAGAGCGCCGCCCTACCAAAAACCACATCATGACGTGAGCAACCTCTTCTTTTTCTATACACTGAAAATGAACAATAAAACACATGTTTATTTTACTTCATTTGTTTTAGCTGTGTAATTGAAACAGACTAAAAAAACCTTTTGTTCTGTTTTGTGTTTTTTTAAGCATGAGGATACTGCTGATAAAAAATGAGAAAAGAAGCAGAAACCCTAGTACTGTTAGGAAGAAACTATTTCTTGCTGGAAAAAAATGTAGACATAATATAAATACATATAAAACTGTCAAGAGATTTATTCTAAAAGACACTTCTTCAGCTGAGAGTCAGAGAGTGAAGACACACACACGCTGCCGATTTTACTTGTAAGGGCAGTCACAGAGCGCTCACACGAGAGTGGGGGCCCTGTGATCAGCGCTCTGTTCTTGCACTTGTCTTTATTTATACACAAGAAAAGTTGTTCAGTGGGATGTTGGTACGTGAGCATGTGCATATGTGATTGTGTGTGTGTGTGTGTGTGTGTGTGTGTGTGTGTGGAATGTGGGAAGCAGCTCTTTTTCCTGGTAAGAGTTCAGAACTGCTTGTTCAGCTTCTTACTATCGCTGTGGGAAGATTCAGATAAAAATATCCAGAGGTGTGGACTCGAGTCACATGACTTAGACTCGAGTCAGACTCGAGTCATTAATTTTATGACTTTAGACTTGACTTGAAAAAATGTTGTAAGACTTGTGACTTGACTTGGACTTTTACACCAATGACTTGGGACTTGAATTGGACTTGAACCGGTTTACTTGAAAAGACTTGATATTTTACCCCAAATATAAAATTTAACATGCATATTATATAGAGATTGAAAATGTGACGTCATTCACGGGTAGAACCGCAAAGGATTCTGGGAACTCGTGGCAAGCGGTACTAGCGCGCGCAGGCTTTCAATTAAAATCAGTTATACAGCGATAAAAAGAAACACAAAAATGTCAAGAAGCCGTTGTATTATTAACTGCAATAGCCGGTCGCATGACAGCCATGAGAAGCTGACGGGTAAAGAGATCGGTTGTTATCGGATTACGTCGTTGAAGAGAAATTGTTCAAGCCATGTTTCCGAAGTAACAAAGACGCGACGGATGGCCTGGATCGCAGCCATTCAAAGATCAAATATAACGTCCCAGAACACTCCAGCTCACAGGTTAGTCTGCTCCAAGCATTTACACGAAGGTCAGTGTTTTTTAGTAGTTAATACGTCATTTTCATAACATAATTAGTGATATAGGTTACAAGCAAGTCTGGCGCTGAACAGAAATTGTCGCGCTATGCTCCTTTATTTATTGTGCATAAATAGTGAATTGTCCTGACACAATATTGCGTTTCGCTTCTGTTATTATGGTACATTGACAAAAACATATACTTTTATTCACAGGATAAAACAGTTGTTTTGTATCACTAATTGCCCAGTACGATTACAGCATACAATATTGTTGTCACTGCTACATTTCTGTGATGGGTACCAGAAATTATTTCCACTACTAATTAATTACCGTTGAGCTCAAAGGTCCTATTAATAAACGGTTAACGAATGTGTATTTATGACGACGATTTGTGAGACTGGTAAACTTATGATACGTACGATGGTCTTTCGTTCTACACGGTGCATTTCAAGGTCCTGTACCCATCCGTCGGTAAACTGTACCTGGGCTTGTTGCAGTGACCTGAAGTTACTAAACTTCATGAGTGTGTGCACTCACTCCAAGAAGCGTATAATTATAAATATGCATATAAATATGCTACGATGAGATAGCTGACTTCATCTAACTAGCAAATGTTGTCCAGGCTACGTTGGTGATACAGTTTTTTTTAATGTGTATGATATTTTTGTCATGCGATTTTAAAGCTGGTCCTACAACCGCATCCAAGAATAACATGCAGCTTATCTCAGAACTGTCGGTGAAAATTATTCTTGGAGCTAGGTTTAATTGAGCTGCATTTTAAAGAGGTGCAATTTCACAATTTGTGTATATTTTCTAAGTTCACTATTTTGTCATGTGTTGAGAAAAACACAGATTTTAAAATTACATGGTCTAATATTTACATTTAGCATAACTGCAACATTATTATTATTATTTTTTTTTTAAAGACTCGAAAGGACTTGAAATTCAAAGTTTCAGACTTGTGACTTGACTCGGACTTTTACACCAGTGACTTGAGACTCGACTCTGACTTGCCTGACATTACTTGAGACTTGACTTGAGACTTGAGGATAAAGACTTGAGACTTACTTGAGACTTGCAAAACAATGACTTGGTCCCACCTCTGAAAATATCAGAACAAGTTTTATAAAGAACAATCAGTTCTAAGTAATAAAAAGGTCATCATGCAGTATTCTATCACATGTAAACTTATATCATTAAAAGCTTATACTGACTACTAAGTACAATTTTCCATTGACAAAAACAAACACAGATAATCAAAATGATGTAAATGTATGATATCTCTAATTCTTTGTAGAGCATAAAAAGTAGAAGAACATACTAAAATTGGTAAACTTGAACAACAGGAAAAGGCTCTTGATCAGTATGCAGATAAGTGGAGGAAGAAAACTTGATGAAACAAAACATGTTACACCTCACTGTTGTAAAAAAGAAGCCTCACACTCTTGATCTGTTTTTTTCTGTTACACCTTTGCAGTACCTTGTAGGACAACACTGTGACCCCACCAGTTCTTGTCATCTGCATGTGACACTAGAAATATGGCATTGTTATAGAGCCTGGATATTTGAGTTGCTGTGGCATTTTTGGCAGCTAAAACCATTCATACATCCATTTTCTTCCACTTCTCTGGAGCAAGTTTGCAGGGACAGCAGCCAAAGCAGAGAAGGCCAGACCTCCCTCTCCCTAGACGTCTCTTCTGTCTTCTCAGGGGAACACTAAGGTGTTCACAGATCAGCCGAGAGATAAAGTCTCTCCAGCATTTCCTGGGTCTGCCCCGGTGTCTCCTTTTGGTGGGCCCGAACCACCTCAACCGGATCCTTTCGATGTGGAGGATTAGCCCCTTCCCCTTGGCCAAACTCCTCACCCTATCTCTAAGGGAGAGGCCAGCCATCCTTTGGAGAAAGCTCATTTCCACCACTTGTATCGGCGATCTTGTTCTTTCAGTCTTCAGTGATCTTCTCTGGCTCTTGACGAAGGCAGTCACACTTTCTCCCTTTCCTTTCCCTTCCCTTATCTTTTCTGCTTGGCTTTCTCATGTCTCTGTCTAGTCTTGTCTACTCCTCTCCCTCTACCCTGGAAGAGTCTCACAGTCTGTTCTCTAAAACCTAAAAGAGGAATTATTATTTATTTTATTTTATTCTACTGTATATAGTATTTTATTTTATTCTATTCTGTACAGTTGTGTACTGTATTTATTCTTATTGTATTCTAATTTTTGCCTCATAACTTTTGCACTGTCCACTTCCTGCTGTGACAAAACAAATTTCCCACGTGTGGGACTAATAAAGGTTATCTTATCTTATCTTACCAAAGCATGAGCAACTGGAACATATTCTAAGCAATTCCAATATTTCTATTTTGGGTATCTCTGAATCTTGGCTCACAAGTTCTTCTCCTGAGTCTGCGGTTGTCTTTCCAGAGTACACAGTATTCAGAAGGGATAGAATTGGAACAAGAGGAGGAGGAATACTTGTGTATGTAAAAAAAACACCTGGATTGCTCTTTACTTAGTTCACCAATAGATGTCGAAATAGAACATATTTCTGTTAAAATCACTCTTTCCCCAGAAATGTCATTTACGTTGATCTGTTTATATCGCCCTCCTTCCGCAAAGAATATTTTTTATGAACAACTACAGATATTACTTAAATATCATACTATAAATAATAAGTCTAATGAAATAATTGTAATGGGAGATTTTAATGTCAACTGGGACTGATAATGGAGACTTTGAACTTTACTCAACACATTGAACAACCCACAAGAATAACAAGACACTCTAAAACTAAAATAGATTGGTTTTCAGTAATAAGCCCGAGCGAATTATTAAATCTTATAATTTTATCACTGGTATTTCAGACCACAATTTTATATTATGTTCTAGAAAACTTATAAAATCACGGGTTAAGAATGACTTTCAAAGTTCATCTAACAGGAGATCCTTTTATGAATTTATACCAAGAAGTTAGCGACAAAATGTAGCAGAAGCATTAGCATCAGTTAACTGGGAGCCTTTATTGTGTAGTGATGATCCACAATTCTGCAGTAGTCACTTCACTGACATTGTTAAGGATGTTATATCAACATACTCCATTAGAGGTCGACAAAAAATAAAGACAACATCTAATTTGCCCTGGTTAAACAAAGAGTGCAAGAATTTAATGAAAACAAGAGATCAATTACTAAAGCAGTTCCTGAAAACAGGTCTAACTCTGGATAGACACTAATAGTCACTCCACAGATACTGCCCTGTGTATGTTAGTGGAGAACTTGAAGAGCTTGCTGGACAAGAGTCCCTGTGTTGGAGCTGTATTTTTAGATCTGAAGAAGGCTTTCTACTCTGTAAACCATCAGATATTGTTGTCCAGATGGACTCAGTTTAATATCTCCAGTCAGGCTCTTCAGTGGTTTGCCTCATATCTCTCACACAGGAAACGGTGTGTGGTGTTGGATGGGGTTAAATCTCCATATTTAGACTGTGATACAGGGGTTCCTCAAGGATCTGTTCTTGGGCCCTTATTGTTCTCTCTTTTTATCAATAACTTACCTGAAGTCTGTCCAAATATATTTGCTCAAATGTATGCGGATGATACAGTTATATATATGCAAGAAAATAGTGTCCAGCAGGTGGCAAAAGATCTTACAACTGCTTTAGCATTAATGCATATCTGGCTGGAGGACTCATGCCTAATGTTGAACACCTCAAAAACTGTCTGCATGTATTTTTCAAAACGCCCCTTAAACTTGAAGCAGTCAAACATATTCCTGGATGGAGTAGAGCTTGAATTAGCTCCAGAATTTAA